CTGCAACATATATAACTACCTTTGCAGTCACACATACTTGTGGTCAGTTCAGTAATTTTTATAAATGGACAATTAACACTTTTGCACACTTAATGGAAGAATTAGTTTCATTGTGATGCTAACCATGTTCTTTTTATAATAGTTTGTCTTATTTTAATGTGACCAGCAAGGAGAAATTAGATAATATGTAGTAAAAAAATAAATTTGGGACAATTTTAGGAAAGATTAATGGTTTCCCTTAGGTGTATTTATAAAGTAGTGTACATAATGGAAAATGTTAAATCCATGCATTGTAGTGATGTGTAACTTATGCCCTGTGATAATACAAATAAGTGAGTAAAATAAAATTGCTCTTGGCCATGTGATAACAACATTATCATGTGTCTGTATACCACAAGTGATACAATGCGTTCAGGAATCTTAGAGTGTGAAAACCACGTGAACCAAAGAATATTCTCCAGTGTACTAACAATTAAAATGCACATGTGATAAAATAATGGCTGTTAGTATCGCATGCATGGAATGAGATCATCAGTATTGCTCAGAAACAGGTGTTGGGTATATAAATAAGCATCCAGAAATCCAGAAACGTACATTTGGCCTCTCTCTGTTTCCCCTCCTCTGTTACTTTTCTTTTTTAAGCCACTCACCTTATTGTTTATTCAAGAACAGGTTACCTGAAGGGGCCGCCATGTTCCTCAGGTTAGAATAACAAACGTGCATTGTTATTTTGTGCTCTATTGAAGTCCATCTAGAACACCTCTTTTAAGATGGAGAATTGTCTATTCTGAAATAGGTAGCTTTTTCATAGGAAAAAACCCCATTTATTTGATTATTATGATTATAGAGTTCATTGCCTAGTACACAATCTTCCAATTAAACGCTCTATAAAAGACACATTTTGTGCTGTATCCTTCTGACAAGTTGTTTATTGACTCTGGAGGCTTATCATCTGCTCTTCAACAAGATAACTGCGTGCTTTTTTCTCTAGCCCATCTAAAAAGGCAATTTTCATTTTGCAAGGTTTGAGAAATGGCATATGCTAGATAATTAAATAGACATGTCTTCATTTGCTTCATTTTGAATAATTAGAATATTTAAAATCTGTATTATGGTACTACATGGTCAGTGATTGATAAGACTCCAATGATTCAATCCTCCTGAAAACTTTCAAATAAATTGAGGTTAGTGGGGCCAGGGGTACAGCTCAGGGGCACAAGCACCTGCCTGGCAAGTGCAAGGTCCCAAGCTCAATTCCCAGTACAAAAAAAAAAAAAAAAAAATTGAGGTTAGCAAGCACTAGCTAAGGCTGTAAGTCCCACAAGGGCAGAATCAAATCTACTTGATCAATATATGTGCAACATCTAGGATATAGCAGGAAATCAAACTTTGTTTTTTGTTTTTGTCTGCTAGAGAAAGTGGATGTTATGACCACTTGTTATACTTGGACCTCTCCTCTGCCATTTTTACAGACTCTTCTAATACTCATGAGAATCTTCATTAGTCTACAAAGGTATGCTCAAAGGTTACTCACCCCTCAAATTCCACTTCAGGCTGGAGGTAAATCACGTCTTCTATTTGCCCTGTTATGGTTTCTCAAAGGTCTAGTACCCTTGTAATGATATAGCAAGTCAGACAGGATTATAATAAGATTTTTGGTTCTGATAAAACTGTTCAATCCACACTGACCTATACTAACATGGCTTATTACTAACCTCTGAAACTAAAAAGATCATCATTAGCCAAAATCAACCCTAATGCTAGTTTTCATCAAAATTATATTTACAAATCATTTTATATGATGCACAAAAATACTTCCATTTTAAACAACATGGGAAAACTAGGGTAGCATATGATCACAATTTTTAAATTTATTAGAAAAATATATTGGAAGGTGTCTTGGTTACTTTTCTCTCCTTGCTGAGGCAAAATACCTGACACCCAGAATTAAGGAAGGAAAGATTTATTTAGCTCACGGTTTGTGGAGGCTCCAGTCCATACTTGGCTGACTCCAAGGCAGAGTGGCACATGGCAGAGGGCAACAGTTCATGGCAGTGGAAAATAGCAAAGGCAGCAAGAGCAAAAGGGAGGAGTGGCAGAGAGGGGAGAGCAAGCTTCTTTTTCTCCCTTACATATGCAAACTTCCCACCCCAGGGCGGGTGTAGCACTCACACCCATAATCCCAGCATTGGATCATGGATCAATCAAACTCTAAAAGCCCGCCTCACGACTGCATGAGGCTTTGGGGGGACATCCAGACACAAACCATAACAGAAGGAATGAAAGCAAAGTGAAAAATAACAATTATTTCTAAGTGATAAGATTACTGATGAGTATTTTTTTTCTTATTTTTAATCTCATATTTTACTTTTCAGTGAGTATGTGTGCTCATGTGCACACATGCATGCTCTAGGGATTAAACCCAGAACCTCATGCATGCTAAGTATGTGCTCTACCTTTGAACTTTACCCCCAGCAATAATTGTTCTATTATGAATAGCTATTGGTAGTTGTACTATTTCTACTTTTAAATATTGAAATTTTAAAAAGAACAAACAAATATTTGTGTAAGTTTAAAGTTTTCATACTTACAATGGCACAAAAATCACCAGTAATTTTTCAATTATTTCACTTCTAGATAACTGTGCTGTAGCTCAAGGTCTGTGTTTTTACACATGAGTAGAATTAGAACATAACTCTGTCTACACATTTTGAAAATACAATGCTGTTCTGAAAGAATGGGGCCTGATAAAACCTATCTCCACAAAAAAAGATATATGCTTTAAAATGTCAATCTATTTCTCTAAGTTATTTCTTTTTAAAAGAAAGTCATGCAAATACCTTATCTTTGTTCTGTTTTCCTGTGTTAATCTGAATTCACAATGGATATTAACTATAACTTAGTGTGGATCCCTGGGAAAAATCAGGGCTGGGATATAGCTCAGCAGCATAAGCACCTGCCTGGCAAACACAAGGTCTTGAGTTCAATTCCTGGTACCAAAAGAAAAAAAAAAATCAACCTGGGAAAAATCATTAGCAACTGGCTTGTTATCAGTTTTAGAAAAGGAGCTGTCTTAGTTTTCTGTAGTTGCTGAGACAAAATACACAATGCTCCAAGTTAAAGGAAGAAAAATTTACTTAGCTCAAAGATTGTAGATGTTTCAGTCCACACTCAGCTGGCTCCAAGGCTGGGTGTCCTGGCAGAGAGGCAACAGTTCATGGCCTAGGCATACAATAAAAGCAAAAGGGAGGAACAAGCCTCTTTCAGTCCCTTCTATTGTTTGCAGGCTACCTGCCCTAGCACGGATGCAGCACTCACACCCTCAATCCCAGGACTAGATAATGAACCAATCACAAACTCGAGATTCAGCTGTCTCTGAAAAGTCAGCCCCCAATGACCACATGAGGCTTTTAGGGGACATCTAGACACAAACCGTAACAGATGCTATCAGTTGAAGTGGCTTAAATGTTTCAGTTCCTGGAATTGGAAATATTAACTTTTAGAAGAAATTCCCTTTGTTTTGGGAAATTCACCAGTTATAGAAAAGTAGCTACCCTTACACCTGGAGAAAATTATAAAGTTTACACAAACCTAAATGTGTAGGAGTTACAGAATGGATCCTTGTTCTGGTAACTAATAGAGGTGGCTACATTTCTATGTAGATCGTGCCCTTACAAAGTGAGAAACTGTTTTCCTAAAATATGGATGGACAACAAATGTTAATGTTAGGATGGAATTACCCAGAATTTGGGCAATACATTTTCAGTGATTGAGAGCGTATTATCTGAGCCTTGACTGTCAGCTCATGCCTTGCTTTTTTTCCTGAAGGACAGCATTTCCAATATTGGTCTAGCTAGGGTAAGAAGTGGTGGGTTTGAGCTTAAGGGAAGGTGGGGGTCTTTTCCAAGTTAATGGGGCTAAAGAAATAGGGCTCCTGAAGAGGAATAATGTGGAGATTTTCTCTAGTAGACACTTCAGAAAGCTAGGCTGGAAACCCAATATTGGATTCAAATGTCCAGTGTATATCATTGAGACACTTATTATTTCCCAAGAATTCAGTAAAGTTTCATTATCCTTGACTTTATTGAAATTTGGAGGCATTAAGTATTTGGAGCAAATCAGTTCAGCAGATACTGTCAGGTCTCACAAGAAATGGTCAACAGTGACGTGGACAGTTCTGGAGAACAGAGCAAAATGGGTAAAGGGATGTGGGAGAATTCATCAGTTATTCTCAGGAATATTTGAGGAGAGGCCGTCTAGGAAAGAGATTTCATATGTAAACACTCTGGGGCAGGGAGGAGTCGCAGATCATTATGGCTTAAACAGCAAAAGAAATATGACCCTAAGCTAGAAAAGAGGCTCTGGCGCCTATACATGTAAAACTACTTTTCATAATACACTCTGTTTTAACAGAGAGTTTAAGACCTCTAGACAGATATCCCACTCTGAGCCCTTATTTTAAACTGTTAAAAATGTGATTATCAAATACTTCACTTAAAAAGTCCCCCATATTGTCCTTTCCATTCTGCCTAGTTTCTCATATTTTTTTCCTCTCACACTTTGCTAAGACATTGTCATTTCATTCCTGTAAAAATTATCAAAATGCTATGAATATATCTGACACACTTCTAAGGAGAGAGTCTGGAATCACTTCTCTCCTACATGAGCCTAAGAACCGCCTGGGCTACAGAAGAATCCGGACTCCCCCTTTCTGTCATCTGAACTTCTTGGAGAGCAGAGAGTCTTTCATTATCTTCCTATAAACCTCTGTAGCCCAGGCCATTCCTTCGTATTACCAGACAGGTGGGGGACAGGAACAGCTTCCTTTGCCATATTTTCAAACTGGGTTACCAGGAAAGCACTAAAAGTGCTCTTATTTTTATTTTGCAGGGTTGGGGATTTAGCTCAGCGGCACAGCACCTGCCTAGCAAGCGCAAGGTCATGAGTTTGATTCCCGGTACCAGAAAAAACCAAACAACAAAAAAAAGTAGAATATTTTTATTTTGGTTGTGAAGGGTGTCACATATTTTCCACTGAGAGTGTTATGGGTCAGCCACGAGCAGCCCTGGGTCTATAAGAACCCTCTGTTCTGCTCTTTGCTTCTTGCCTGCGACCATGGTCTTGCTCAGAAGGAAATGTCTAGTCCAGGCCTTTACAGCCAAATGTTGAGCTCCACATTACCATTGTGCAGTTCACCCGCGGAGGTTCCAGGGCTGTGCTGAGGCAGAGAGCTCTTAGTGGCCCGACATCAGGGGAAGTCCAAGTCCCGATGGAGGGACTGGAAACCAGGAAGCTTGCTGAGCTGGATGACCAAGCGGAGGGTGAAGCCAATTACAGGAAGGGGTGAAAGAGAACAATGAGGGGTAAATATGGATGGACACAGGGCAAATTATGCTCTGTGAGTGTAGTAGTGTCGCCATGGTTTGGATCACGTCTTCAGCAAATCGTTTGACACATTTCTATTGCACAACTTACTTTACATGAATTATTCAAAGGAGTGGTGGCTTCCGAGTCTGTGAGCCTGAAGAGGCTTTCTGAGTCTCCTCAGGCACACACTGTGCAGAAGTGAGCGCTTTGCCCACAGAACACAAGTGTGGCTGCCTGAGACACACCCCGACCAAGGACATACGTCCTTCTAGGGTCAGTGACAAGCTCCCTTGCCCAGCGCTGAGGGACTAACACTGCTCTGAAGTTTGGAGCGCCGCTTCTTCTACTGAAAGGATCTTTACTGAGCAGAAGAGTTTCTGTGTCAGCCCCATGCCGCTGTTTCTTTTTGGTCTCTTTTGCGTCCTACTTAGTCATTTCTTCACATTTGTATTTGATTTCCCTCTGTCCCTCACCCGCACTTCCTGATAAATTTTTCTCTATCTTTACACTTTCCTTCCTGAATTATTCCTTTCTTCTCGTCAAGATCGCCTTATTCCTCCTAAGAAAAAGAAGCCTATGCAAAGTTGGAGCACCTGTAACTCCAAGCCGAAGGACAAAAACCCCACACTCGAGGATCAGTGCCTTGCATCTCAGCAACACCTGCGTGCTTCCCGAGCGCTTCTTAGTGGAGGAGATCTAGGAACCTCCTTCTGAAACAAAACTTCCAGGTGAGAGATACCTGCATCAACTCTGACTCCTGCCACGCCAGGTATTCTGTCCTTTTCATTTAGCTCATCCAGTGCCCAGAATATCGTTCGATGAAAGACAACGCTCAGCAAGTGACTGATGGATGAAGGGCTAAACGAAAAAAGGGATAACCACTTTGAATAAATACAAAAGTAGCATTCTTAGGCAAAATAGTAAAAGAGCAAACATACTCAGCTGTCCTTGGGGCGCTGGCTAGCACGGCAGGAGGTGGCCGGGTTCACCCCAGAGCCGGCAGTGGCTGTGCCGCAGCGCACCGCGCCTGCATCCTGCTGGTCACCACTGCCCTCCTCGCTGAGCGCAGGGCTCTGCCCTGGGACTCTTCCCGCGGCTGCGGCCTGCGCAGGGCAGGGCCCACTGGCCCGCAGCTTGGGCTGGCGGCCCCACTCAGAGTCCGCGGTGCCTCCGGATTTCTTGCGCCTCTGTTTCTTGCACTTCTTAGATTTCACCCCAGGCTCGGCCCTCGAGCCCTGCTCATCAGGGTTGGCCTTCTAGGCCGCTCTGAAGGTGACTACAGGTAACCAATGGGAGGCTAGGGGCTCATGTTGGCAACCCCAGGGCTTTGCATCGCCATCAGGCACTGTTTCCACAGACGCCATATCCTGCCGACCTGGGCTCGTTCTCCAGACTTCGCCACTTGCTGAGGAGGGGCTGAAGGGGTGTTTTCGCGGGTTGGGTCCCCAAAGAAAGCACGCAGAATGGACATCCGCAACAATAGCCAGCAGTGAGAGCCACGTGGTTACTGTCTGGCTCTTATATATTAGCATTATCAAGTTCACATTCTCGTGCACTGTCATAGCTGTGGCACATGCACGGGTGTCTATGCGAAGTCATGCTTAGAGCAGTGCGTCCGCTGTGCGCCTGCGCCAAACAGCAAGCTCCGGCCCTCGTACTCCTCAGACGCCTAGAATGGGAAGCATCTGCTGTGGGCTCTCCACCACTGCTTTATTCAAAGTATCTCCACACATTTAAATCCTTTTTAGGTTTAAAATAATTTTTAAAAAGAGAAACTTAACCACTGCCAACTAAGATTGTCAAAGGTTCAGAAACCCAAGCCCACAAACCATGCAGTGAGAGGTCAGGATTCCTTTTTAGTTTAAAACTTACTTTATAAAACATAGTGGCGCAAGGTCGTGAGTTCGGTTCCTGGTACCGGAGAAAAACCAAAAAAACCAAAAAAATAAAAATAAAAAAAATAAAACATAGTGTCAGTTTAGCTGTCTGAAATATATATATATCAAAATATTACAAAATATATTGTACACAGAGAATATATACAATTATTTTGTCAGCTAAATATATATAAATGAAAAGAATTGCAAAGAACCCATAATGTTAAATGAATGATTTGTCTTTTGTTGCTTTCTGGTCCCGGAGATGGACTCCAAGACCTTGAGCATGTCAGGCAGGCTTTCTACCACTGAGTTAATTCCCCAACAAATGATTAGTTTTTAGATATATGAGAACTGCTGATGACAGACTACGGATCATGACACCCAGCCCCTATACAGAGGACATAACCCCTCCTCTTGCCGGAGAATAACTTAGCAGATGCCTAGATAAGATATTGCGATGGTTGACTGCTGCGTAAGGGATGCTGTTAGGAATAGTGGCTGACCAGCACATATGGGATGCCACTAGAGATAGCATCTGACTGGGAAAATTGCTGTATATGAGATACAACTAGATACAGTGTCTGACCAGGGAACCCACTTCACAGGGGCCTAGGTACTGCAATGGGCTGCTCATAAGAAGTAACATGCCCCTCGACCCCCAAAATGATTTACACTTAAAATTGCATTTTGTCTTTTTGAGGCAGGGTTTCACTACGCAGTTCAGGCTGGCCTTAACTCACTTTGTAGCCAAGATTGGGCTCAAACTTGCACCAAGCCTCCTGCCTCAGCGTCCCAAGTGCTGGAATTTAAAATTTCATTTTGTTTAGGCTCTCATAGCAGTAAACCTTAGGAGGAAGGCCACATCCAGTGGTCAAAAATCTAGGAAAAGGAATTCATGAGTCTTATTTAGGATACATACATAGCAGAGATGAGCATTTCAAGACCAAAAGTACAAATATTTTATCCTGATAAGGGAAAGGGGAGAGAAGAAGAGTGTGAATTAGTGAGCAGAATTATGTGATTGCAATTTGCATAATGAGCATGATGTATACTGTCTTTTTAAATCACTGGGTCATTGTAAGAATAACTGCAGGGATGAAGGAGGGCTGCTACACGCTGTGCACTGTGATCCTTGCATCCTGTATTCTGCTGCTGCAGAGCTGGTAAGGGGCTGTGTAGGGCTGTGAAAAAGCACTAATATAGGGAGGGGTTCGAGTAAGATATTATGGGAAAATAGAGGGTGGACATCCAATACACTTGTGAGGAGACAAGAGCAGAATCCAAGTGTCACAAGTATCATGCGCCTACAACCTGCTGAGGATTTAATCCTAAAATTCATGAGAATTCCCTGGAGCATTTTAAACAAAGAGTGTGACCAGGGCTGTCTTTTAGAAATTCACTTTAGCAACAGTGCAAAAGAAGATTAGAGAGGAATGAAAATAGAAAAGGGTATGAGTTAAGAAGCAATCCAGGAAGAAAATTGTGAGAGCCTGAAATAAGACAGACAGGTGGAAAGTGAAATGGCATAGAAGGGAAAGTATTTAGGAGGTTTGGGAAGATGCAGATTGCCTGTGAATGCCAAGGGAATGAAGGGGTCCAAAATAAAGTCAGCTGCTCTGCTTTGGCCAGCTGGTTCCCTTCAGGTAAATGGTCTGACCCTCAAGGGTTGTTGCTAGACGTTGAGGAAAGACAATAGTCACCCAATATAGCAGAATGTTCTTAAGAGAGTTATCTAAAGACCGTAAAGTTCTTTTGGTCTTGACCAACTAACTTGATACAGCGCTCAGTTCAAAAGGGAAAGAATAATTTTAAGTTTTATTTTTTCACCCTAATTTGGAGCACATTCTCTCCTTGCAACCTAACATCATGAATTCTACCCAGTTGATTTTACTCATTCAGCAAATACTGAACAGTTGCCACATATAAAATATTGGGATGTAGTACAGTAATGAGCAGTGCAAACAGAAAAAGGTCTATCATCAGAGAGCTCAAATTCTATCAGGAAAAATAGAAACTCAATAATCACACAAACCATTCTTATGATTATAAAAAGGACTAGAGAAGCAACTAGGTCATGCAATGAGAATGCAAGAACAGGGCATAGTGGAATAATCAGCTGGTTGAGAAGCTGGTCAGAATGTAAGCAGAGAGAAATGCTCGTGGAAAGGATGAACGCTAATAAGGCTTTAGTACTCAAGTGGGAACTGAAATAAATCCAGTACGGCTGAAGAAGTGTAAGTGAGGGAAAGAGATAGGGAGGTGAAGGCTGAGGGTGGAGTGATATGACAGAGATCGACATACAGAAAATTGAGGAGATTACATTTCATGCTAAAGCTATAGGAAGTCATTGGGAAGTTTTAGCAGGGGAATGACATCATCTGTATAGGCATGCGTGAGCTGTTCAAAAGGAAATTTACAAGAGTAATTACCAATGTAACCCATACAAAATTGGCTCATTCCTTCTCCTTCCAGCCTTTACTCAAATGTCGCTCTTCCATGACTCCAACCTTGGACCGCCATCTCTGAGAGGTAGCCCCACCCGCAACACTTGTCTCTAGAGCCCACTCACTCTTCTCTTTTATCATAGCATTTTCACTTTCTAGAATTTTAGATAATTTATTGATTTATTAGTTTACTGTCTATGTTCTCTTGCTAGAATGTAATCTTCACTATAGCAAGGATTTTTTTTCCTATAAAGTCCTATCAATTTTCAACAAATGTTTGTTGAATTAAGTGGCATAGCACATTGTTTATTCAAGCTACATTGTAAGATGGCATCTCTACTGTTGTTTATGATTCTAAATATCTAGTATAAAATAATTGTCTCCCAATTCTGTGGTCCCTAGGCAAAACATGTACTATGATTTAATTATTAAATATAAAATTGCTCTTACAGCAGAAGTTCATCATGTGCTTACTAAAACACATGGAAAGTGTTCTTATATTTATATTTTAATTAATAAAATATCAAAGATTTGAGCATATTTTAGGAGGAAAGGTTCATGAGACTTGGTCAGGAGCCAGGAGCCACAGTGATAGCTTAGCTATTTTACAGTGTTGCCGTGTATACTCATTGAAATAAACTCCTATGCTAACAAAATTATAGTATTTTCACAACACAATGATTAACAATTTAAGCCTACTTTTGGACAGGCATGAGCCTCACTTGGAGGTGATCTGAGAACTAATATGCAGTCAGCAAGTTAGAGCTTGTGACAATGTCTAGAATTTCTTGGAGAAAAGCCATTTGATATGCAAAAAGTGTCAGGTGATCTCCTTTTGATTTTTTTTTGTATCTCTGATATCATAAAGTTAGTGATTTCTGGTTTATTGCAGAAGTCAAATTTTCCAGAAAATTACTTTTCATTGCCAATATTATTGCCTATGACTTCCTATTAAATCCATTTATAAGGCATCTACTATATTTCAGCACTGTGCTAGATATAGATTCATTTATTCATTGAATCACTAATCAAACATTATCAATAGAAAAAGTCACAGATTTTAAGAGAAAACCAGACAGTTTCACAGTCAAGAAATTAATTTTTAAAAAAATGACAAGGCAGGGGCTGGGGATTTAGCTCAGTGGCACAGCTCCTACCTGGCAAGTGCAAGATCATGAGTTCGATTCCCAGTACTAGAAAAAAAAAAAAAAAAAAAACCCAAAAAACAAAAAATGACAAGGCTTAGGTAAAACAAGAAATTTTGACTTTTATAAAAAGAAACATCCAATTGGCAGCAATTTTTAAAATACTTTTGTTATAATGTTAAAAAGGAGATGAGATTATAGTAGAAAATCTTCTTTGTACTAAACATATGTAGATATACCGAATATAAACGACATGAAGTAATACATTATTTTGATTATAAATTCAGCACTATGAAGAAATACTGGTGCATAGTATTAATAGTCTACTATCTAGACCCCTAGAAAACAGCTTTCACAAGAATCTATAGTATAGTATAAGATAGTAAGACTAAAACAAAGCCAAGTTCTGACTGACTTTTTATTACTATGCATGCTTTCTCATAATTGGGTCTACTTTATTCACATTTTCAGAAACTCTTTTTTTTTTTACCATTTTCAGAAAAAATGCCAAGCCTGATACAAGCCGGGTAGTATTTAGGAATGACTTCTAATCCTTTTTCTAGTTTTTCTTTGACTAGCGCCTCCCACTAAAGTTGGAGTACTACCTCCTCCCCTCCCCTCCTCTCCCGACTAGGCTATGCTTCCACATGGAAGATTTGCCTGAGTAACTAAGTTCTGCCTGCGTATTTTTTTGATATGTTGAGTGTTATCCTCATATATGCAATTTGGGTTTAGGCACCTGCATTTTGAACCCTAGAGGTACATCCCATATTTTCATCTTTCTTAGGATCTGCCAAGTATCAGTATACATGCTTTTGCCAACAGTTAAAGCAATCTCTCCTAGATAAACTTGCTCATAATTATAAAAATAGATAAGAATTATATTGTAATATGCTTTGACATATATACAAAAATCCACTAGACCATTATATCCTTTATCATTATGAAGGTAGATATGTTATTTAATTTTCTAAATAATTCTATTGATTGCTATTCTTCTGCAATTTTCCACACAGGAAGACATTTGCTCACCACGGAATGAACACATCTCTACTTGTAGCAGAAAATGACCCCCCACCCAGGATACTTCAGTTTGTTAGTTGCCCAGGTAACAGTTCCTGTTACTTTTGTTTCTTAGAAACAGCTGGTCACTGTGATGCGTATGGTAAGAACCAATGAAAGACAGCCAAGTACTCTGCCTTTGTGTTCTAGAAGATCCCATAAAAACCTCCCTCCCTGAGCCTTCGGGGCCTGATATTTTGGGAATGACACCAGTCAGTGTTTGTTGACATAAAATAAATCTACCTCCAAATCCTGGGTGTCATTTTGTTTTTTGTTTTTTGTTTGTTTGTTTGTTTGTTTTTTGTTTTTCTCCAGTACCAGGAACCGAACTCAGGACCTTGTGCTTGCCAGGCAGGCGCTGTGCCGCTGAGCTAAATCCCCAGCCCCCTGGGTGCATTTTGGTGTTTCTTCTTGACATTGTACACTGACATGATTTCACTTAAACCTCTGTCAGGTAGTCTGATCCACAGTCGGGCGCTTCCTTGTACTCAGTGGGATAAAAGCCACAGTGCCTTGTTTGATGGTAATTACTTGGTTTCCTGCATCAAGAAGGTCAAGATGACACTGGTAGTTTTGGGTCAGTGACGTGTCAAGTTCCAGAAACACATGTCCAACCTCCCAAATGACAGTGACACTTAGAGCTATCATCACTTCCAGCCTTTGAGGTTAGGGAGAACAAAGCAACAAGAGGGACTGCCTAGGAATGCGTTCTATAACTATGGCCAATCTGTTGTTAAATGTCTCTTTCACATACAGCTGTGTGGAATGAAGCAGGTGAGGATAAGGATATAGAAATGAAATACCTCAGTGATGGCCAGCTGAAGTTCAAGACAAGTGCAACTAGAGAAAGGACGAGAGATATTTTAAGGACTTATTACTTGCTGGTAAGTGGAAGGGCTTCCGGATGGACTCTAGCCCCTGAAAGAGGATGTACTTAAACAGCTATAATCACCATTCAGCGCTTATAAACAAGCAATTCTGTATCGGGGCAGATTTCAAATAAAGACAGCCACATAGACCATCACTTGATTGGCTTAAAGGTCAATCAAGAATATTTACACACACAGTTCAGAGTAGGCTAGGGCTCCTCAATAGGGATTATGTGACAACAACAACTAGAGCAACAGCAATAAATCATGCAGCTACCAAACGACTTCCTCACTGGATAGCACCAGGCTAGTGGCTAAAACTCCATACAAAATCTCAAAAACAGAAACAACAGTATTTGTTGTTTTTGTTACATGTATGTCTTCTAAATTTGGGGGACTATTAATGAGAAATATGTTGATGTTTCTAGGAAATTATTGTTGTGCAAATATTAAGTTCGTCAGCTTCCTCATCTGATCCATATTTCATTGCTTCCGCCCATGAAATGGAAACTTTAAGATTTTCTTGTAATGTTTTTGGTTATTTTGCCTTAGCAAAATTGTGAGTGAACTTAATAAAAAGCTGCAAAACAAAGTCAGTTGCTGTGGAAACAAACCAGCTATCTCTTTACATTTAACAGAAGTAAGTACTGATCCGTTAACATCTACACAGGCGTCATTAGACCAAAGCAATGTTTCTGATAAGGCCAGGCTAGAATCATCGGATTCAGACTTAAGAAGAATCCAAGTGTGGAGAACTTCTTGAGTTTTGTTGTTTGTATGAGTGTTTTAAAACTTTTTCCGCAATGACCATAGATTTAACTCAGCTTTATGTTGAAAAGGCAACATTTTAAGGTGAAGACATACATTAATGGAGTCAACAGCAACCATAAATTTAGAGAAGTGCAAAAGTCAACTGTTGAGTTTATCACGGTAATCACTGGTGTTCTGGTATTATTTTAACCCATTTTCCTACTTAAAAATGAAAATGTGATACTCAGCTGAAAACTTGTATCTTCCAACTAACATTTAAAAGAAAGACTTAACATTTAAAAGAAACACTTAAAAGAAAGAAAATTACCTAACTTGTTTCAGTATGCATGGAGAGGAGCCAGTGTGGAAACTTTGGCATGAGATTGACATAGGTATTTGAATTCGCTGTCATTGTAGTGAGCTGGTTTTCTGAACCTCCCACAACCACAATAATGCTTTGTCCTGTGCATGATTCCTGAGTGTCTGAAGCAGAAGTTCTTAGACAAAGAAAGTACTCTAGAAAAGTGGTGGTAGGGTCTATGTTGTTAAATGTGTTATGCTTTAGAAAGAGTAAGATCTCCGTTCATTCTCTTCCCTACAGAACATCAAAGGACCTATAGCTTCCATTTCTCTTTAGTGGGAAAACATAGATCAGTAAGACATAAATATTTGGCAGTGTACTTATAGACACACCTATACTTATCCCTTACATGGGAACTTTTTGAACTGGCCAATAATGTACATGTGTTCTTATTAGGCAATTTGAAGGAGTGTGTTCTCCCACCCTGCCGCTGGGTCCTAGAGCTGTACAAAGACAAGTACATGTAATACTGTTGCACTATGTACCCAGCAGACTCATAGTCATTCCCCTTAAGCAGTGCAGAGTGTAAATTTAACCGTGGACAAATATACACAACATCAGAAAATATGGGGGAAAGTAAAAGAATGAAAGGAAAACCTCAAGAGATTCACACTTGGAGGTGAGGCACATTGATTCAGCTTTCACATGCTCTTGGGCTAGTTCACCTGCAAACTCTCCAGACAGACTTTCTGATTAACCATCTTTTCCTTTCTCAAAGAAAAGTATTCTCATTGCAAGAATTCCTATGAAATCATTTCTTTAAACTTGAAAAGGAAAATAAATTGTTCATAACAGCATTGCTGTAAAACTATTTGTATGTATATATTTTCATATGTATATATGTGTTCTCCTCAAGCTTCCTGAGAATAATAAGGGCTTAGTTCGTCACATAGCAATACTGAAGTAAATCTGATTTCACATCTCACAGATATGTACAGTCTTCGTTTACTTTATTACTTTAGAAATGCCACGAGTAGAATAAAATATCACTTGCAGAGCTACATAAACCTGAACTATACTTTCAAATAAAAATAATGAAAATATATCAACAATTATTCAAAGTACAATTAATCACATTTAATGAGCTTTTATTATGTGCCAACCATGGCGCTATTGGCTTTTTAGGCATCCTATCATTTGATGATAGTAACCTACCCTTAAGATAGACATTATCGTATCTATTTTACACATGAGGAAACTAAACCTTAACGGCTACAATATCTGCCCAAAGTCATACAGCTATAAGGGTCAATGCTAGGGATTCACACTAGGGATTGTCCAATTTCATAACCTCAGATATTAGACATCATACCTTCCACCTCATACATTTGATTTGATTTGATTTATTTTTAATGAAGTGACTTTATTCATTTTTTAAATTGTGTTTTATTTTATTTTTTGTTTTTGTCTTTTTGAGACAGGGTCTCACTCTGCAGTTCAGGCTGGCCTTGAACTTCCTTTGTAGACCAAGCTGGCCTCAAACTCACACTGATCCTCCTGCTTCAGCCTCCCAGGTGCTGGGATTATAGGCGTGCACAGGGCGCCACCACCTCATAAAGTTTAAAAAGAAAGATTATCCTACTAAAGAATTAATAAATATTATGAAATGAGACTCTGCCGTGACATGGTTATACCTTTATCAGAAGCAATCAGTGCAGTGGAATTAACACTGGCTTGGCAGTTTGACAACTGGAGTTTAGGAATGATTATGCTATGTATTAATATGTGATACAGGGAAAGTCACTTAAACTCCATAATTTTAAAATTTAAAAATTCCTCTTACCTAGAAAGAAGGGACTAATGGAGAAAATTTGGGAATGTTCACAGGTCATGTACAACCTGACTGTGATCTTTTTTTTTTTTTGGTTTTTTTCCGGTACCGAGAATCAAACTCATGACCTCACACTTGCCAGGCAGGTGCTGTGCCCCTGAGCTAAATCTCCAGCCCCTTGACTGTGATCTTATAGGAGTTCACCTGACATGTGAAAGAGAAGGGTGTTCCAGTTGAAGAAAATAATTTAATGCATTATTTTATGTTCAGGTAATTTTTTATTTCAATGACTGTAATATAAATTACTAAATCTCACACTTCTGAGTGTAGGTCTCTGTCTATAGGTTCTTCTCTTTGTGTGTCACTATAGTAATTAGTCCTCCAGCCAACCTCCCAGTAATAGTCTTTTCCTTTTGAATCTGGGCTGGCTCTGTAATTTAGTTTTGATAAATGAAATACAATAGATTCATGCTTTACAGTTCCCACCTACCTCCACGGGAACATTTCACCTTTGGAAGTGTCCTCTTCAAAACCGGCTCCATGTAAGAAATGTGACTACCCTGGACCCATTTGTCATGAGTAGCCCAACCACTCAGAGATGCTGTGTGTAGATGCTCCTGTTAAAACCCCAGCGGAGATTTCAGTCCCCAGCCAAATTCAGCTGCCACACATAGAAGTGAGCAGATCATTTCTGGGAGGTTCAGTAGAATCTTCGATGCCTATAGCTCCAGTTGTATCACCTGATGACAGATACAGCATGAAAGTCATTACAGGAAATGACCAGGGCAGCCTTGTTAACCCATAGGTTTGTGAAAAAGAATATAAACATTGTCGTTTTAAATTGCAGTGTTTGTTATACAACAAGAGATATACCACAGTCACACTAGACTTATAACAGGAAAACAAAATGAAAACATTATATTTAAATTATATTCATGCTATTGTGCATATAACATGCCAGTTGTCATGGTGAATTTATCTCTAATGTAAATTTTAGGCAGAACAAGACATAATAAACATGTTTGTCCTGGCTTGGAAAAAAACATATAATATATATAATATATATATATTATAAAAACATGGAATAAAACATATTATGTATATATTGGAAAAAACATATAATGTATATATAGTATTAGCTTTCATTCTTAAATGACTGGAATACTTTCATAGATGAAGGTTTACACTTCTGTAAGATCATTTGGTTGTTTGAATCTCAATCTTGCTGCTACTTTATGCAATCTATAATTTTTTGCCATAGTAGAATGTTCATCTTTTTTATGACCTCTGTCATTTGTCATC